ACACACACACACACACACACACACACACACACACACATTATGTGATTCCTTCTTTCCTTCTCGACTCCTGACAACTAATGTGCATTTCTCAGTATCTTCTTCCTACACCCCAACCCTCGCCAAGCCCCAGACCTAAGAATCTGTTCATAAGACATCCCTTTCGATTCTGGACGTAATCCCCTTTCTCAGGTTCTCGTCAGCCGACTCCTGCCTTACCTTAGCTGATCATGAAGTCCGTTTGTGTTTGTTTTCTGCATTTCACTTTTACATAAATGCAACACATAATTCTGGAAATGTTTTTCATGCAAAAAGAGAACAGTTGTTCACAATGCCACCACCCAGAGACAGATGCATTAACATTTTAGAATGTTCCCTTAGTCTCCTTCCTGCAGTCATACTCTGTTAGTGTGATTTTAGACTGGCTTTTCTAAAGTCTGCAGTCTCACCACTTTGGTGTGTCACAGTTTAATTCCAATGGTTTAATTCCAATGGTTTAATTCCAATGGTGGGCATTCAAGCTGCTTCCCGTTTTTTGCAAGATGCGGTGATGAACATTCCTGTGTATAAACCATTGATTGCATTTCTGATTGCTGCCTTGGGGTAAACCCCTAAGTGGAATTACCAGGCCAAAAAGATAGGACTATCTTTTAATTTTAAGGGTTTCCATGCATATTGCCAAATCGCCTCCTGGAAAGTTTGCGCAAATGTTTACGGGTCACTTGGGCCACTGTCACCGTCACCGTATGACAAGGCTAGCCTTGCCACGGGCTAGGTGCCATCCAAAGTTCTTAGCCGCAGTTTTGATACGGAAACTCACAGGATATTTGACTTGGCTTTTCTTTGCTTGTGCTACAAAGGCATAGACGTTTTTTCTCATGTTAGTTAATGAGATATAGTGATTTATATAATAAGAATATATATTTGGACTTTGTTGCCCTTGCTGGCACAGAGCTCCTAAAACCCTTGGAACACTTAGGAATAAGTGTGAATCGCGATAAAGGTGTCTTCTTTATTCATTAACAAGCTCCGTCCAGCCACATCTGGGTTTGCGCTAATGAGCTGACTTTTGGAAAGTCCCTATAGACGGGGTTTGTTTGCGGGAGAAAGAGCCTTGTGATTAGAGGGTCTTGTGATTAGAGGGTCGGAACTTTTAGCCCCACCCCCCACAACCTCCAGGGAGGCAGACTGGCTGGAGATTCAGTCACCAACACCCAGGGATTCATTTCGCGCCAGTCGGGCCCGGGTGCCTAAGCCTTGGTCAGGAGCCGGGAAGGAGGAAGGGGAGACGGCTTTGGGGACTGAACCCTTAGCCCCAGGATCTGACACTCTCTTCCTGTAGATAATGTCAGAATTGGCTTAAATAGTAGGACACCCGCTGGTGTCACGGAGAACTGCTTGGTGGAGGAAAACGCCCACACATTTGGTAGAAAGTATGACAGCCACACTTACCGACTTGGCAGTCCTTTCCGGAAATCTCTTTGTTCCTTGTCCGTTTTGACGGACGGTTAATGTTTTTCTTACTCGTTTGTGTGAATATGTGATATATTGGTAATATTAATCATTTCGTATCTGTTGCAGATGCTTTCCACACTCGTTGGCTTTCACTTTTTTTAGTTTGTTTTTGTTGTACGGAAATGTGTCTTTCTTTTAAATAGTTAAATCTGCACTTCTTTGTGTGTGTGATGTCAATTTGCTTTTAAGCTCAAAGTGTTCCTTCTCATTCGTAATCGAATCTGGACTTGTTTTTAGATCTTTTTTCCCCTCTGTTGATGGCATTTCACTCTTGGATCCATGTGACGTTCGCTTTGGTGTGTGGGGTGGACATGAGGACTTAAACTAGTTTTGCTTCCAGGAAGCTAATCGACGGCTTCCGCACCCGTTCGTGAAAAACCTTCCAGCGAACTCTAATACTTTGGTCACGTATTAACCCCGCATGTGTGGCTTTTCTGAGACACTCCACTCTTGAGCTGTCCATCCCGGTAGCCCTGGGGGGGGGGGGGTACCGTTCTGGGGGCTGGGGCCCAATCTCGCCCCCGTCATCTCTAGGAATCTACCCGGGAGCTGGGTACCGCAACTACTTCAGTGACTCTAGCCTGCCACGGGCCTCAAAATGGTACGCCCGAAAGTGACTTCGCAAGCATTAACAAGCGTCTGCAAATGTCATCTTCCGGCACGTGGGCCGTATGTTCTCATTAGCAACTGAGATCTTCAGAGCTGTACTCGGTGCCCCTGCGTCACGCCACCTCAGCGTTCTCAGCCCTGTCAAAGGACAAAACGGAAACAATTGAGTGATGAGCTTACCCTTCCTTTATCTGAGGGAAGACAAGCCGTGGATTGGGGGAGTACAGCGCCTCCCAAGCATGGAGCAGTCTGGCAGGATTTGGGGCAAGAGCCAGTTGTGTAGAGAAGCAGCAACATGGGAAAGAATGGGCACGATTGGCCGGGACGTCGGGGTTTCCTTAGAAGGTGGGCAGGTCCTGTTTTCTAGGGTAAGGTTGTGCTGGGGGGGGGAGGGGGGGTTCCCTGACAGGTGTTTCACATGACTTAGGCTTAGAACTGTGACACGGGCTGGGCCACCAGGGCTGCCTCCATTTTGTGGTCCCAGTACAGGAATTCACTTTGTCAGCCCAAACCTGGACTTCAACAGACTTTGGGAGGTGAGCCCTGGGTCCCCCGCGCTTTTGTGGAGAGGTACCCTCTGTCCGCTGAGCAGCAGTGGGGCGGTGGGGGTACCGATGGCCAAGTCCCCGGGCAGAGCAGAGAGCGGCAGGAACCGCAGCCTCGGCCCCCTCCTCAGGCAGCCGGACAACCGGGAGGCAGAGGCCACAGCTGACGCCAGCAGGGTGATGAGGCAAAGACTCGTCAGAGTGACCGAAGACCGGCTTTCTGAGGTTCCCGAAACTGGCCTTGAAGGGTAGAGGGGGAGGGCCCCTAGCGTCTGCTACTCAACTTAGCTGTGATCTGCTTTCTTTGAGTTAATCTGCATGTGTTTTGAAGCCCTTTCTGATGTATTACAAGCTTGCTAGGGAAGAAGCCTCTCTCGAAAGACCTCTTGCAAAACTGAAGGTCCGAGTCTTTGGGTCTATTATTCTTTCCCTCCCCTTCTTCCAATGGTTGCGTACCAGCCACGTCCAAGTAGGCCTCGGTGCTTGCCGAGGGCCCAGCCGGCAGGACGGGTGTGAGGTGACCCCTGGCCTCCGCGCGTCTGTCCCGGCTCACAGATCTGTCTGGGCGCCTAGAGCCTCGTGTCTGAGGGAAGAGGGACAGGAGTTAATAGAACACTCAGGTCGAGCGATGAAATCCACACCTCTCACCCTGGCCTACAAGGCCTCCAGGGACCTGGGTCCCCTCCCCTCAGTCACGGGGCTGCAGCCACCCCGGCCCTGGAAATCTGATCCTCTCCCAGGCCGGTGTTTATAACAGACACACTGTCTCCCTGGAGGGCTCTTGCCCAGGCCCAACTCGGGATGGCTCTGTCACATCCCTCGGGCCTCAAACAAATGTCTCCTCTGCACACAGGCCTTCCCTGACCCACTAATCTAGACTCACGGCTTCCACCACCTTCTCTCCTTTGTTTCATCCTGTTGGTTTCCTTCCCAAATCTTTTCAAAACTTGGAACGGTCTTTTTAAAAGTACACCACTGGTGTTTGTGTCCTCAACCGGAAGGCAAGCCCATGAGGCCAGGTTCCTGGTTTGCCCTGAGAGCTACTGACTCCACAGGGCCTACGGCTCAGGGAACTCTCCAAAATGTGCCCTTCGTGGAGTCACAGGATGAAACCCTGGCCTCCTCAGTAGAAGGGGGGCTGTGAATGTCTATCGGGATTGCAGGAGAGGGCTGGGCAGGAGAACCAAGAGTGACAGCCAAAGGCTGTCCTGCCTTCTGGTACTACTTATCCTCAAACTCTGCTCTGGGTCCTTAGCTTCCCATAAGCTAGCTGTGGAGTCCCGCCACTAAAAACCAAGTGAGGAGGGGCGCCTGGGTGGCTCAGTCAGTTGGGCATCTGACTTTGGCTCAGGTCATGATTTCACAGTTTGTAAGCTCGAGCCCCGCATTGGGCTCTGTGCTGACGGCTCAGAGCCTGGAGCCTGCTTCTATGTCTCCCTCTCTCTCTGCCCCTCCCCCGCTCACGCTCTGTCTCTGTCTCAGAAATGAATAAAATAAACATTAAAAAAAATGTTTAAACATTAAACAAACAAAAACACCAAGTAAGGACGGGTCCAAGATGCAGGCGTGTTCTTGTGGTGAAGGATTTTTCTCCCTCTAGATTTTTTATGTTTTGACCCTCGTTCCCAGCTGCATCATCTGCCTGCCGAGGCTAACAAGCAACAAAACAAACGAACAAAGAGCTAGTTGACATTCACGGAACCGCTGAAACGGCCCACGTCCGTGGCTCGGTGTTCGTGGAGGTCTGGAGACGGACGGTTTTGACCCTGCGTGGCGGTCTCGTGGCGTGGTTGTGCTTCTGCTGGTGAAGCTGCTTTTCGTTTCCCTGCCACAGGCGAGCAAACCCAAATGTCACGCGCTGCCTACAAAGCTGCCCTCCGGCCTGGCTGTCCTCAGAGCGCGGGCGACCCCCGGGGGCTGCCTCCGCACCTTTGGGACGCACCACCCCAGGCCGGTTGTGAAAAATAAGAACCTGGGCTCATGCTTCTGCCAAAGGAAACATGACACATTTCCCTTTCTTCTTCCCTTTTTATTTCTGTCAGAGCCGCACCCACACCGCCAGCCACCCTGTCCTGCGTGTGTTCGATGGGGAGGTTTTCGGCAGGGCCGCTGGCTGCTCCGCTCAGACCCTGTTCTGGCTTTATCCGGACGCTTTCTTCCCCCCGCTTTGCTGCTCTCTCCCCCTTGGTGCCGCACCCCCAGCCCCCCTCCCCTCGCTCTTCCCTCACCTCCCTTTTCTCCACAGTCAGGGCTCCAGTTGGCAGAGCGGCCCGGCCCAGCGCACCCGGCCTACAGGGCGGGCGTGGAGACAGTTGCCACACCTCAGTCTCGCCACAGCCCCCGGGGACAGGCCAGCGACAGGGTCCGGACGGGGAGCAGGTGCCGAAGGCCGAGCCGGGTTCTGCTCGAGCTCATGGGCCCTGAGCCCGGGCACTCGGCCCCCGGGTCCACGCCCTTCCCCACCACCTGTGGCGGCCGCATCAGCGTCCAAGGGCACAGAAGACAGCTCCCTGGGGCGCAGGTCCCCCAGCGGAGCTCGGCAGGTAGACACAGGCACCGTCTGCCTCCTCTAGGGCCGCACCGCGGCCGGGCTCCCTTCCCCGAGTTCCAGTTTCTTCTCCATGACAATAATGACTGACACAGGACTTACTAGGTCACGTTCCACGTGCTGTACATAAGCTACAAGATAAATTCCATTGTAGCCATTTTACAGATGGGCATGTTAGGCGCTGGGCTGTTAAGTCGATGGTAGAACTGGGATTGGAACCCGGGACACACAGCTGCAGAGTGTATGCCCAGAACGCTCATTCCACATGGTCTCCACCGCACGAAGAGCCAATAACGACAACAGCGTCCGCCAGGCCTCAGCGGGCACGCGCACAATTCAGTGGAGGCAGATTCTAGATGATTACGACCCACCCGCCTGATGGACTGTCACTGTCCGCTGGCCGGGGGACCTTGGGGAAGCTCCTGACCTTCACCGAGCCTCGGTTTTACTCCTCTGGAAAATGGGGATGGCAATCGTAAACCTGCTCCCACAGGGTTGTCGTAAGAACTTAATAAAATGGTACCTACTAAGTGCTCGGCACAGGGCCTGGCACAGAGTAAATGCCCAAAGAGCTTCTGAAATCTGTTTTTAACTATTAATAAACTCTCAGTCAAACTCAATTTCTCCCTGGACGCCTTCACTGGTCAAAGAGAATTCTCAAAGCAAGTTCTTCCCTCTGTTGTTCCCTAGAGCTCTCTGAAATCACGAGTGAAAAGGAAGGCCAGGGAGATGAATTTACAACTAGTAACAACCCCATCAGCTCGCTGTTTTTTCTTTCAAGCTTCTGTTCTGTTCTGACAACAAAATGATACCATCAGTTTCTACCAGGCGGTCCTGGGGGCCCCGGTAGGGACCGCTCGTGGGTGTGCCCTTGACCTCCGCTGTCCCCACATCTCATGTCCGTCATCGGGGCTCTCGGTGTGCGGCTCTCACAGCTGTAGGCCCACGTGACGTATCTGAGAGACAGGAGAATCCTGTAGAGAGCTCACATTTAGAAACCGGGAAGAAGAGGGAGGGGCCAGAAGGAGGAGGACCAGGACAGGGAAGCAGATGGAAAAAATCGACACAGGGAGGGGTCTGAGCAACTCTATGTGCCGTTGCTGACGTTCATTCAGTCACTCGCGTGTCCTTTACCAGACTTTTACTGAGTGCCTCCCGTGTGGCCCGTAGTCCCGGGTGTGGGGGACGGAACAGTGAAAGATAGGTCTTTGACAGATAAACAGACCAGCTAACCACAGACACATAAAAATGAGCAGCAGATACAAGTCCTTGCCCTCATGGAGGTTACAGTCTACTGGGGACCGGGGTCGGGGGGGACAAGAAATGTTGAGAATGTTAGATGGCACCAGAGCAATGGGGAGAGAGCAGGAAAGGGGCACAGGCAGTGTGAGCTGTGGGGCCGGTGGAGGGGTTGTCACAGGTGGAGATGCTAACCAGGGGTGGCCTCCGTAAGAAAGGGACAGTTGAGCAGAGAGGCCCAAGGGAGGCGTGTAATAACAGAAGAGCATTCCAGGCAGAGAAAATGGCAAGCATGGAAGTCCTGACTTGCCTTAAGTTCTTGGAAAATAAGGAAGAAGCCACTGTAACCGAAGCTGAGGGAGGGAGTGAGGGGCAAGGATAACAGGAGAGGTCCAAGAGGGGACAGTATCGAGGTGTCCTGTTCCTAAAGGAGCAGGAAGAATACCAGGTCGTCGTTGATGTTGCCGTGGAAAGAGGGCACCCTGGGCAGAAGTCATCCTTGGTAGCACATTCCGGAACATATACACCCCTCCAGGTAGAACATATGATATATTCCCGGTGGAAGAACTCAGAAGTTCCAGTCTAGTCCCCACGCTCCTGGAGGGGGACTCTGAAGGGGACGTTCTTCGTGGGTACTCTGTTCCCCTCCGCGGGGCTCACTCTGAGAGTTCACCAAACACTTAATAAGCGAAGTAGAATTTCCACGGGTGGTGAGTGAGCAGTTGCCTGGCATGAGAGACAGTCGCAGGGGGGCTGTATATATATATACACACACACACACACACACACACATATTGTGTGTATATATATACACACATATATTGTGTGTATATATATACAATATATATGTATATAATATATACAATATATACATATAGTGTGTGTGTGTGTGTATAATATATATATATATATATACACACAATCACGTGGACGGGTATTCTCGCAGATCACAGACAGGTGCCAAGTATACTCGGGAGATGGAGACCAGAGCTACAAACCTGCCTCCGGGAAAGGAAACGAAGGCACTAGGACAGTTCGTAAAGTTCCTTTTGAGTCTGTGACTCAGGAGAGCCATGGCACTTGAGGCGTCTTGAGAAGCAAGTGCCAACGGTAAGGGACGGTGATTCACAAACATCGCCACAGCATTGTGTCCAGTCTTACAGAGTAATGTCCTAAAGTACGGGCAGCCACGAAAAACATCGTGCAGGAAACACTTCTCGTGACATAGGGACACGCTCACGCCGTAATGATGTTGACAAAGCGGGATGCAAACATATATATTCGCATGAGCCTGACCGTGTAAAACAACGTGACGGAAGGAAATGCATTGAGAGTGGTGGTTTCTACGACCCAAAGTCACAGATGAGTTTTGGTCATTCACATACTTTTCCACTTTTCTACAATCATCACGTGTGGCTGTCTTATAAACAGGAAAAAGTTCAGCTAAAAATGGCAGCAGTGACGCAGCAGCCTGCTGGTTCACCCTCTGAAGGAGGCAAGGCTTGTCACGAAAGGGAATTCAAAAGCTCGTGGTGGCGAGAACGAGATTATGCGGATTGTCAAAAGCCACGAAAGCCAGGGTAGGCTCTTAGGACAACAGAGAAGAGCGCCATGGGGTTTTCCAACGGAACGTCCAGAGGCATCCTCTATGAAATGTTTAGACGAAGAAGCTGCGACCAGTCTCCAGCCTCTCGGTCCCTGAGGTCCTGAAGTCTGTCCGGATGTCTGAGGGGACACGGGGAGCAGCCAGCCCAGCGCCGTGCTGAGTGTGTCTGACACACGAAACACGGCCCCTCGCCTCAGGAAGACCGCTGGCTTGTCAGGACACGCACACAAGATGTACACGCGCAATAACTGAGGGGTACCACAGGGCTTGGCTTTCCTTTTTCTTTAATTTTCTTTCTTTCCTTCCTTCGATCTTTCATTCTTTCTCTCTCTCTCTCCCCCCTCTTCCTGTCGTCTTTCTTAACAAGAAGTTCCTTCTGTGTGTCAGGCACCGTTCAGGGGATAAGATGGACGGCCAAGTGGATAAAGGGGGCAGGGATCAGTAGGATTTGGAGGCAGGGGGCAGGGCAAGACCTCAGGAGTTTCAGGGAGACTGAGAGAGAGGGCAGATGGGGTTGGGGGCCGCCTGAGCACAGCCAGAGTGGAGAGCACCGGGAGCAGGCGCCCCCTACAGAGAATTAACTGCCAGTACAAGTTCAAAGTTGCCCAGTGGCGCTGAGCCCCAAGCTCCAGGCGGTGGAGCTGAACTCTGTGCCTCTAAAGACCGGGGAGAAGAAGGGGAACCGGGGGCGACCACCTTCCCCGTATTTGCGCTCCTGGGCTTCCCAGGTCCGGTTTTATTTTGTTTCACTCTCTACTGAAACCCTCCCAAAGGGCAGTTGAGAGAAAGGCAGGAAGTCAAAAACAAAGGCCGGTCGCCTGGGAGCCACAGCCAGAGTTGGCTGATACGATGTCCTCAGGCCGCCACGCCTTTTGAACCTGGCTCCGTCTTCAAGTCAAAAATGCTTAAAAATAGCGATTTTTTTGAACCCAAGTGTAACAGGCCTGAAATAGGGGCAAGAAGAGGGAACATCCACGTAAGGCCACCCGCACTCCCAACCAACGGAGGCAAGTCAAAGCTCATCTGCTACGGCACACGCGCACAAATCGGGGTTCCAGCCCTGGAAATCCATCCCGCACCCTGAAACACCTAAACCCACTAAAAACATGGATACAGGTTTTTACAAGTATTTGTGAAATACGAAAACCGTACAGAACACCTGCTGGGGATGTTCTCGCACCGCGGGCTGGGCCAGCTAGAACTTTGGCTATGCTACTCTCACAACGCATGGACCAAAGACACCTTTCCATACCTGCTAAGCCTTGCTGTTGCAAGGGGGGTAGCGGGAGGTCCCAGGGCCTCCGCGGGATGGCCCTTCTCTGCCACCTCGGCGCTTCCCTGCCGAGCTCCCCTAAAGGAGAAGCCAGGGGCAGAGGCCCTTGGTGGACGGTGGCGACAGGAGTTCAAAACCTCACTGCAGGCACAGGTGTATGTTTCTGTTCTGACGGGCACCGGCCTCCCCCCAAGGTGCTGTCCCGGCTCTCGGTCAAAGGAGTCGCTTGCTGATAAATCTTTATTCTCATTGTCTGCACTGACTCAGGTCCTCTGAAGGGAGCCACCTGCTATAGAGTGAATCGCTGTGCCCTTCAAATTTCGTACGTTGAAACCTAACCCTCCAAGGTGATGACAGTAGGAGGTGAGGCCATTGGGAGGTGATGAGGTTGAGAGCAGAGCCCTCATGAATGAAATCAGTGCCTTTGTGAAAGAGGTCCCAGAAAAAAATAAAGATGCCCCAGACAGCTTCCTGTCCCTTCCACCATGTGAGGACACTGGGGAAGGATGTCCCTCGACGAACCAAGAAGGGGGCACACCAGACACCAAATCAGCCAGTCCCTTGATCTTGGACTTCTCAGCCCCCGCCCCCCGAGCTGGGGGAAATAAATGTCTGTGGTTTATAAGCTGCCCAGTCTGTGGTAGTTGGTGCAGCGCCCTCTCCCTCAGCGGGGCCCATCTCCTCTTCCCTCACACTTGTTCTCTTTCTCCCTCGGGGCACTTCCTGTTCTAGCAGAACAGAGATGGGATGTGGTGGGACGCACCTTCCTTCCAGCCAGCGGAGGGAACGAGGGAGCGGCTGCTCCCTTCAGAAGCCGCCCCCCAGGGCTGGACACGTCCCCTGAGCCTCTCCCCGGGGCCACCGCTAGCTGGCTGCAGGAAACCACCTGGCGCCCCAGGCTGGGTGCAGGGACAGGATGGCCCTCCGTCCTTTGTCCCCAGCACCTTGTGTCTTGGAAGGCTAGCGGCACTTTGGCACGCAAATGGCTATTTTGTTCGGTAGTCGAAACTTTACAAATACAAAGGTATCGCAGGCAGACTACTGTGGTAGAAGAGCAATTTGGAGAAGTCCTTCTGATTAAAATCATAGTGAAAAGACTGTTCAAATACGATGAGGACGGTGTACGCTATCTTATGGGGACTACAAGTAAGTTTTCTGCGGATCAATTTGGCAATATGCAGTAAGATCACTCAAAAGTATTTCTACCTTTGGCTCCACTTTAGATATCTAGCTGAAGGAAAAATCAGATTCCAACCAAGAATCATACAAACATCTTCCTTATCTGTCACTTATAATGGTAAAAATGGAAACAATCTGCCTAATGGAGTGACGGATAAATCTACGACACGAACTATCACACAGCCATTAAACATGTTTTTGCAGACTATGTAACAGCTTTGAAAAATGTGCATAATATTCAGTGAGAAAATCATTGTGGTCAACAGTGTGACTATTTAAAAACACATCAGCGCATAGGAAAAAAATATTGGTAAGAAATTAACAGTGGTTCTACGTACGTGGTGGGATAAGAGGTTATTTTTTATGTATTTTTTTCTGTTACGTATTATTTTCCAAGATTTCTATGATTCCTGTTCTCGGGAAAAAAATCAGAGACACTTAAAAGGTAGCGAGTGCCACTGTGTGATTTCATGAGCAGGTGGCCTCTTGCCTTCACCAAGTAATGACTCCCAGAGCAGGGCAGGTAAGCTCCCAGAGAAGTCTAGCAGACCTCGTCCCCCCCCCCCCCCCCCCCCCCACCTTGTGTTACAACAGACTACAGGGCTTCTAGAACACACCAGTGCCCCACCCCAACCTGGAAGTTCTGATGTGCCGGGTCTGTGGCCCATTGACAGTAGTTCCCACAGCGCCCCCTGGGGGGGGGGGCCCTGTGCCTCTAGCGCCTTCCTCCTCCTTCAGGCCCCCGGGGACAGCAAGCCTCCTCCCTCACCCCAGACAAACCCACCCTCGAAAGGATCTGAGAAACTCCCTCACAAACATTTCCAGGGGCTTGTGGTGTTTAAACGGCAGCAAAGCCTTTGTTCAAAGGGCATCCATCATTGTCACCGCTTTCCGGCACTCAGCGGCCCAGGGAGCCCCTCCTCCTGAACAAGGCCGGAGAGGGGGCTCGCGGTGACTTACCAAGTGCATCCCGCCTGCAGGCTCCCTCTGACTTCTTGTTCCCGCTGGGGTTGGAGGGAAGGCTGCCACAGGTGTTTATGGGATTCCAGAAGGGAGAAGGCGAGCTTGTGAGGAAACCGGGAGGGAGGCCGGACATTCACGGGTGTGACTTCCCTCAGGTGCCCCGGAAGGCGGCCCTGCAAAAGGGCAGGAGACGATGACCGTCCTAAGGCCAAGACGGGGCAAGCAGCTGCTGTTCCTGGGCATCATGACAGTCACGGTGGCGGTCATCTTCCTGCTGTTCTACACTCTCCTCTGGAAGGCCGGCAACCTCGTGGACTCGCCCAACCTCAGAATCGGCTTCTACAACTTCTGCCTGTGGAACGAGGGCACCGGCTCCCTCCAGTGCCGCCAGTTCCCTGAGCTGGAGGCCCTGGGGGTGCCGCGGGTCGGCCTGGCCCTGGCCAGGCTCGGTGTGTACGGGGCCCTGGTCTTCACTCTCTTCGTCCCCCTGCCCCTCTTCCTGGCCTGGTGCAACAGTAACGAGGCAGAGTGGCGGCTGGCGGGGGGCTTCCTGGCGACGTCCTCCACGCTGCTGGCCAGCGGCCTGGGCCTCTTCCTCACCTACACGTGGAAGTGGATCCGGCTCTCCCTGCTGGAGCCTGGGTTTCTGGCTCTGGGCACTGCCCAGGCCTTACTCCTCCTCTTGCTTATGGCCACGTGTGTGTTCCCTCAGAGAGCAGAGGACAAGGTCAAGCTTGACAGCTGCTAGTTCCGTCGAGAGGCTCACGATGGCAAGAGTTCAGTTTGAACTATGCTCAGAGAAGGTGCCAGAAAACTCATGGGCTGGCATGTCTTCTCAGCCTGTTTCATAGCAAATGCCGGCCTCAAGCTCTGGCAGACGGGACCCACCACAGAGGAGGTGGGGGTACCCAGTGCCGAGAAGGCCAAGGGTGCAGCAGTGGCAGCCGCGGTACCTGCGGCTTGTTAGCATGGGGCTGTCCATCCTTTGGGACTTCCGAGGTTCCCAAGGACACACCACAAAAAGCTCATTGTCACGACAACTCCTTTAACTGACATAAGGATTCCCATCACGAGGCCTGATTTCTAGGATAATTAGCCACATGTCACACTGGAACCGAGTGAAGGTTCATGGCAACAAAGGGGGGACGTTATGAGAGAGTGCACCTCAGCCTCCCTGGGGCCCTGGTTAGCAGGCTCCCCCTCCCCACGGTGGGTGTGAAGTGACGAGCCCGTCTCCCAAAGGCCCACGAGTGATCCCTGAGGGAGTCACTAAAGACAGAACATGTGGGCACAAAGACAAGCCTTGGTGGCTTTGAAGGTTCTCCCGAAAAGTCTCCCAGACCTGAAGCCAGACAGAGCAGGGGCGTCAGCTGGTAAATCGTTCCCAGCATGTGACCTGGGAGTTGGGAACACAAAACGCCGAATCCCTGGGCAGGAGGAAGGTGAAAAGAACTGAGGGGTTCCATACAGATGTCGAGGACTTCACTTCTCCACCCAGAATTGGAAAGGACATAAACATAGCTCACACACTGGGGAACTGTTTGTATTTTTCAGCACCTATATATTGGAAAACCTATACAGCAAATGACTGCCTTATTCTGTGCCTGTCAAAAACCACACTGAATAGAGTCAGAAAC